TTTTATGAACCCTGAAATAAGCGCTTGGCCTTATGGCCATGCCCTCAAAAGCCCGATTAGGCTTATTATCAGGGGATGTCTTCTTTTGGGGGAAACAGGGTATTAGAAACAACCCTTTCCCTAAACAGAGCCTTAGTATAAAAAGTCACCAACAGATGGCAGTACAGATACACTCAAAACTCTGACATGTTCTTTAGCATCTGCTCTTTCACTTCTGTTGATGGGAAATTTCTGGAGAAAATTGTTGCAATTTTGAAATGGAAGCCCACAGTGAATATTTGTGAATGTACTTTCAACAATGTGCTATCATTGAATTTTGGAACACCAAGAGTCCTTCAACTGAAATTCAGTATCAAAGGAAAGCTATTAATGGTGATGACTATGTGTTACTGAGCCAACATATAAAGATGATGAAACAGAAAAAAGCTATTTTTTGTGATCAAGAATGAAGTGGACAACTTGTGACAACAAATGACAAGTTTCACATAGAGCAAGTAAAGTTAACAAACTGATTAAGGACATTCAGCAGATCACTCAAAAGAAAATTGTTCACAAGTTTGGCATTTCACTGAAATATGCAGGTCACATTTATGTTGTTCAGTATGGAAAGATTTGTACAAGATGGGTTCCTTTCCACGCTGATAGCAGAGATGAAAATTTCAAGAGTTAAAATTTGCTAGAATTGTTGTCACACTACAAGAATGTAGGTGAGGAATTTCTTCACAGTATTATGACAGCAGATGAAATATCGGTTTATCTTTATGACCCAGAAATGAAGCATTCATCCATGAAATATTATCACAATTCCATTTTTTTTTCAAAAGGAAAACTTACACCTACATTTTGGGGCAGAGATGGTGCTATTCACTTTGAATCTAGAACTTATGAGCACCTGATAGAGCTACATTGCAATGCTCAAAGCTATGAAAGATTTAAAAAATTTGCTGCAATATAGCAAGAGACCAGGGGTGAAATCTAGCAGGGTCTGACAGGTAGCTGAAATTTTGAGCAGTTTGGAGAACTGGTAGTGGAAATTTTGAGTAGTTCGGAGAACTGGCAAATGCCATCTCTGGCTGGTCCCAGAGTGGGGTGGGAATGGAGATTTTGCAATATCCTTCCCCCAGGAGTGGGGAGGGAATAGGGATTTTGCAGTATCCTTCCCCTGGAGTGGGGTGGGAATGGAGATTTTGCAGTATCCTTTCCCTGCCACACCCAGAAAGCCACACCATGCCCACCAAGCATGACAGAACCAGTAGTAAAAAAAATTGGATTTCACTACTGCAAGAGACCATTGTGAAGTTGGATCTACTTATCTTCCATATAGTCCAGATTTGATACCATGCAACTTTCATCTTTTTACAAAATTGAAGAAGATCTTTATTGGCATCTGTTTTGCTCAAATTAAGAAGTAGGAAGGATTCTCAAGACCTAGTTTTACATTCAGTCCACATATACAAGCTAGGATCTCTGATCTGGGAATGATATCATAAACAAACATACTGTTATCTATATCCCATTCTCGAGGAAGTATATGCAGTGTACTGATGTACACTCAGGATATTGCAGCCCTGAAAACCAATAAAATCAAATCAATAAAGATGTATCTTAGTCACAGAATAATGATTGCATGAGGGAAAAGATTAAGAAAGAGATGGTTGAGGAAGAAAGAATAAAATGAATTATCTAGGGAAAAATGCGTAACATTTTTCTGTAAACATTCCATTTGTTTGCTTATGAAAAATATTTTGTATATATTAAAAACACATATATCTTTGTGAACTTTCAATAATTGCACCAAAAACAAGTTTTGGAACCTTAATCCTGTTTCACCGCTCAGAAATCAACCTTCACCTGACCTGCAGTTTCATAGTCATGCTGGTATGTTTTATTCCTTGATATAATCTATTCCTTAGCCTTTGCTAGTCTTCATACTGTCCTTTCTGCATCATTTCTCCTGTTTTTATTGGTATTAATAAGTCTATCATTTATTCTGATCTTCCTCTGATCCTCCAGTACAAACAGAATGTAATTAATTGTGGTTCTTCTTCCTGCTTTTCTCTAAAACAGGAGGAAAATCTGCTGATGTCAACACCATCTCAGTCTGCTGCAATACAATTGATTTCCTGTGCCAATAGCTGCACTGAAGGGTATGCAGTATGGTAGATAGCTTTGGGAAATAAGCATAATCCAAGGGTTGAAAATGTTGCCAAGAATAAGATAGTAAGCATGTTAAGCCTAGCCTAAGAAATATCATTGAACCACAATTAATTATTCTGCTTCCCCACTATTTTTATTAAAAAAAACTAGCTTGCATCAAATAATACTTTGCTTTAAGCCAGAAATAAGCATGCCCTCTGTTAATTTGAGTAATTGGAATGTGGAGAAATCTATGCATTCTTCCTGGATTTTCAAGACAACTAGAATCTTCAGTAGAGTAATATGGTAACACAGAACACAATCTTCTCCACTCAATAGGTTGCAAACAAATCATTATCTTCTCAAATGATTCATCTGTATGCAAAGAATTATCTTCCACTGAAGGTTCCATATGGCGGAAAGCAAAGGCGAAAAGGATGAGGGGAAAAAAGCTTATAAGGCAAAACAAGTTGTCATTTAAGTTTTTCAAAGTACAGTAATCTGTTTATATTTACCACTTGATACTAAAGATCTGCTTTTTCAATTGGGCTCAGTGTAGGACTACCTCACTTCCTGGGTTTCAGAATTAGGAATGACAAAGGAAATTTTTGATCAGGATCTCCTAAATATTTTGTTTTCAAAAGCTAATAACCAAGAGGAAAAAGAAATTGAATAGGGACAGCAGAGCTGCACACTGATTTTCTTATTAAAATTCCATCAGTACCAGTGAAGCAGATATTTGTCCTGCAGGGCAAAACATGGTTGTAATGTGTAAGTAGCAGTGGGAAGTTTAGCTCATCTTTTACAGAATCATGAAGGATTGCATGAAAGCTGTCCCAAGTCATTAACTCTCTTTACTACACATGGAAAGCTAATGTGCTAAGAGAAGTTCTAGCTAAGCATACCCCCTGACACGCTGCTCTCTAAATGCAGGATGATGAATCATTGTTTAACAAAGTTGTGCTGAATTAATTAATTCTGAATTTTAGGAGGGCTTTAATGATATCATGCATAGGGGCCTTTTCTATCTTTCTGCTACAGAATTCTCTTTTTTAATGAGTAGCATGTATTCCAATACATGTTTATTACTTAAAAATACATTCTACTGATCTAAACGAACTTGTGGTAAATAAATCAATGAAGGGATTCAATCTATATCTGTTATGTTCTGAAGCTAAGAAAGAATATATCATTTCAGTGAACTAGATATCATTCAACACCAAGAAAGATTTGAGGCTGATTGAATCGATGTAGTTGTCATCAAAACTGGTGGCATTTTCCTCCCTTCATTTCAGTGGTTCTGTGTTCCAGATCTGTGCGTTCATAAAAAAAATTATTTAATTAGTAATCAACACCACAAACCAGAAAACATTTAGTTTCACAAGATATACTGATCTGGGCTGCTGCCAGTTCATCGTTTAAATTCTAATTTCCTCCCCCCAAGACTAGAAAATGAGAAAACTACAAATGAATTTTTCCTACAATTCATGACATTCTGAGTTGCAATCAATTATCCCACATTGTAATGCTGGCAATACAGCATTTCAGTGTGTTCATCATTTGCAGCTCTTTATTCAGTCTCTTGTTTCTACTTCTGCCAATATTTAGATCTGGGAATATAGACGTATAATTTTGTTTATGAAATTCCTTAAGTGCATGTCCATTGGAGAAGAAAGAAATAAGATATTTTGTTCAATTCACATACCAAATTAAGAATACTTCTGAAGGTTCTATACTACTGCATTGTTAACCAAAAGTAGCTAAATTTCATTTTCCTCAGTCTCAGTGTAAAGAAAAGAAGATGGCATTTCCCCCCCCATAGATGGAACTATGTACATTGTTAAGCCTAGTTTCAGAGTCTTTCACTTCTTAATATGGCTTAGCTTCCCTTATGGCATATTCATTTGAGTGTTTCCACTGCTACTTTGATTGCCATATAAAATGAAATTGCATATTTTTTCCAGATATCTAGTGTTATATATAGGTGTGCTAATCAGTAGTATAATTCTACCTTAAGAAAATAAGTCATGAGTAAAACCTAGCCAAAACTAAGCAACGTTTATAGCTTTATTTGGAGACTGAGTACATGATGAATTATTCTTTAACGATCAGTGGGGAGGGCAAATATTTAATGATAGCTGGACTGTGCTCCATATTCTCTCTCTCTTTTTACATTGCTATGTAACCTATCATGTGTTCTTATTGTTTGCAATTAAAAAATAATAATTGGAATTATTTAAAATAAAATAAAGCCATATCTGGCAGGGAATCAGTTTGATTAAACTATTTTACAGAGAGGCATTTTTCCTCTATGTTTTATTCTGTTTAGTCATAATTTAAAATATTCTTTTTCATCAGACTTCAAGGTAGAAGTCAATATGTGATACTAATGTTGCCTTTCCTTTCCTTTCCTTTCCTTTCCTTTCCTTTCCTTTCCTTTCCTTTCCTTTCCTTTCCTTTCCTTTCCTTTCCTTTCCTTTCCTTTCCGTAGTGAAATAATTCATGCAATATTATAAATATATATATATATACTAGTTTAACCATAGTTTCTAGATGGGGGAAAAATCTTTTAGGATGAAGTAGGATCTTGAGCTCTTTGCTCTTTTATTTATTCTTGCAGTAAAATTTCACATCTATATCACTGTATCTACCTGACTGAAGTCTTCCTATGTGATACCCACTGACCATTTCAATTCATTTAGGGAATTCATGACTTTTGTTTTAAAAAAAACCATTGGGAGGGGACTTTAAACAAACCAATTAAACATGATCACTTATCACACTGTTTAAAGTCAACTGTTTTCTCAAAACAGAATCTTAATGGTATTTTTTTGTTGTTCTGTTTTTTGTTCTTTTTTTGTTAGCAACCCAACTACTGGAGCTTTAAGGTCAGTACTTCCAATTTTTCCCCTCCATGCTTTTATTTTAAACAAATGCATGCGCTTACCCACCTTTTCTCTGTATTTTATGTGTGCATAGGCAGGTATGTCCATGAGGGAATGGGCAATTGAAAACTTGGCTTCCTTAGCCCTTTTTCTTGCACCACGTTTCTTATTTTTAATAGGCAGCTCTTAATTCCCCAAACATGTTTGGCTGGTCCTGTTATTAGGGAAAGCTACCTGGCTGCTTCAGGCAGTTAATTTTAGGTGAAAGGCAGAAAACTATGTGTCTGTCTATACATGTTTACACGCATACATGTACATACACACAAAGATGCATGCATATATGGATACATACAAAGACAGACATTCATATACATACATACATACATACATACATACATACATACATACATACTCTGCCAGGAAATGATGTGAGTAAAATGCTCCACTCCAAATCAATAAACTTGATCCACCTTGGCTGTCAATATACACCTTGACATTTGTTGCATTACTTACATTTGCTGCCAACTTTGCAAGCATTAAGTGGTCTTGGAACCTGTTTCACCATCTGCAAGTGCAGAACTGCAGCTGTGGGAGCTAAGAGAATTAGATATTACAAATAGATGTACAACTTTCCCAACTGTTTACAAATGACTACAGCTCTGGAAGATGGCCATGTGGAGTAATGGGATAGACAGAAGAGCACAAGAAGTTGTTTTATACCAATTCGGTTTATTCAAGCAGGCATAGGAAAGGTGCAGCTTTCCAGATGTCATTAAGTTCCAACTCCATCTGTCCTATCCAGCGTGACCAATGATGAGAGATAACAGAAGTTTCAGTCCAGTAATATTAGTACAGCTACACATGGCTGATCCCTGATTTATATTTGTTTATTTCATCCAGGAAGGACTCTGTAAATATTGCACGCAAAGGACTGAGACTTCATTTGCTCCCAATTCTTCTAAAAGCACACAATCTTATCAATGATGTTATGGCTCATTGCTGGAAGAATCAGTAGAGTAATGAAACCATGGAGGAAGAGAATAAATGGGAACAGATTTATTGCATTTATGGGAAAGAAACTACAGAACTGTGCATGGTCCAAATGACTGTGGCTCAAAGGCTGCAGTCACTGAAAATACATAGTGGAACTATAGTACCTAATTTGTTGATAAATGCCTGTGGATCATCTTCTGGTTTCAAAATAATGAACAATGAGTTTGACAGTTTTGGTCTAAATATTAAATGTTAAAAGTACCCAATAGTAGTCTGTGGATAACTAGCAGTCTGCAAGAGTATTGCGGCTAATCCACTCAATACTTCACAAAAGTGAGACTTCAACTGAGAACACCAACATCTCACAATATTTGGTGGTATGAGATTTCGGTCATTTTAAAGAAGAAAAGGTAAAATTAATTGTCATAAAATTTTAGATTCTTGCAGATATATTATATGAGATGGACTTCAAGGGCACCATATTGTTCACCCTTAACATTTCATGGTGATCTCAAAAGCTTTTGATAACCAAATACCACTTTTCCAAAGGATAGAAATGCTCATAATTCTAGATGCAAAACATTATCATCCCCCAAATTCTTTATTGAAGGGACAGTGAATTTCATTTCAAAACAGTTCTATGTGATTTTTTTTTCTTTTACACACTAGTAATAATGTAGGATTGTTGCCTCAGCTGCTTTAAATATGGGTAACGATTGGGCTTGCATAATCACATATTCAAAGCCATATGTTTATTTTTTATTTATCAAATTTAGAACCACTATTTTCCCTCACAGAGGGACATCTTGCAAGCAAACTACAATATCAGAATCCATGCAACATTTTAAACCAGAACTAAAGAAACCATCTTTTGCTAAATGCAGGATATTATTATTATTATTACTATTTATTTCTTTGTCAAGCATGAATAAGATAACAGATATAAGTATAAACATGATTATGAATACAGAAAATGGATATGAATAAATGGGGACAGTAGGACAGGGACGGTAGGCACACTGCTGCGCTTATGCAGGCCCCTTACAGACCTCTTAGGAATGGAGTGAGGTCAACAGTAGACAGTCTAAGGTTAAAGTTTTGGGGGTTTGGGGAAGTAATCACAGAGTCAGGTAGTGCATTCCAGGCATTGACCACTCTGTTGCTGAAGTCGTATTTTCTGCAATCAAGTTTGGAGCAGTTTACCTTAAGTTTGTATCTATTGCGGTTGAAGCTGAAGTAATCATTGACAGATAGGATGTTGTAGTAGACAATTTTGTGTACTAAGCTTAGGTCAGACCAAAGGCAGCGTAGACCTAGGTTGTCTAAGCCCAAAATTTCAAACCTGGTGGTATAAGGTATTCTGTTGTGAGCAGAGGAGTGGAGGACTCTTCTCGTGAAATATTGTATTAATGTCTGATATGCAGTGTGGGTTCCAGACAGATGAGCTGTATTTGAGAATTGGTGTAGCACCCTAAGCCTGTGAGACAGAACAGAAAAATGTAGGCTTCTTTCTACAAGAGTAAAAATTATTCCTCAAGTAAACCACAATGCCCACATTCTCAGCTTTTGGTTTTTTGAAAAAAGATCAAGCTTGTAACACTTCTAGAATCTGAGGTATAAATATCTTATTGTCACAGGCTATTTTAAGACTTTTTCTTGGTTTTCAGTGGATGAATGAACATTCTTAGCAATGACTCACATACTGCACACATGGTTTGGAAAAGGAAATTCCTTTCTTCCTAGTTAGAAGAATTTCCTACTTCACTTTAAAAAAAAAGCAGAAATCTAGGCTTTTGATAATAGTATTATTGGGTATAGCACATCTATCTACGAACTAAAGGCAGGGGCAGGGCTAAGAATTCGTCAAATTTTAAAGTCATGCCTTGCATTTAAAATAGAGGATTTTTTTAACATTAGGAAAATATCCTGCCCGGACACATATATATTATTTGCCATTGCGATTTGTAAAAAAATAAGAACTGAGAGATTGTGGCTCAGGTCACACAAAATGCTAGACTAGATTAAAACTGAATTGTACTGTTTCTAATCCATTGTATTGAAAAAAACAAGATACTGGCTTAGTATTTGAATTTTGTCATCATGCTAAGCCTTAATGGTATTCATATGTTTGGACATAACATGTTCATGGGAACATAGATGCAGTGTTTTGTTAATTCAGATTTGACAGATTGAGTTTTATCTGAACCAAACCTACAATTCATATCAATTCTGCATTATGTGATTATTCCCATTTTGGGATACAGTGAATAGAGTAATGGATCTATATATTGGGATTTTCTTTTGCAGAAATACTAAGGTGATGGGCAGATTTAAAGTGCTATAGATTGTAATGGTCATGCAACTGGTTAAGGAATGGAGATGGGTCTGGTCTTTGTATACACCAAAATTTCAGGTACTGACGGGGATCCACCTTACTACCCTGAAGCCCTCTGTGGCATCTCTTCCTAAAGACATCTACACATCCTATCAGATCAGTGAGCATGCTCCTAATCTTTTCCCTTAAATGTGGCCATTTTATGGAATCTAGGAATAGTGTCTTTTCTGTGGTGACTCCTGCTCTGTGGAACACCTTTCTACTTGAAGTGTGGTAGACCACTATCCTTCTAGCCCTCCAAAAAGCACTTAAGACCTGTGATCTGTCCCCGTCTCACACATGCACACAAACAGATATCCAGGGGTTAAATAAAACTGGCAGACAACAAATTCTTTCGATAAGAGGATTGGCAGCAACCCAGTAGCTGCTTGCCAAGAACTTTATCCATAAAGGGAGGGGTTGTTCCTCCGACAGATTAAGCCAAACAAGATACACACAGTTCAAGAATTGTCAAGTCCAGTCCGTATTAATTCCAAGGCAGATATCGTTGTTGCAAAGATACAATGTGACTCGCTAGTAGTTAGTTTTATCCATCACAGAGTCTGAATGGCCACCTCACCCCCTTATATCCCCTGTGGGGTGTGGTCCAGTGACTCAGCTTAATCTCTGGCACGCCTCCTTTTCTGCTGCGTGTGCTTGTCTCTCCGACGCTGGCGTGGATCCAGCCAAGACTTATCTCCGTCACTGTCCGACTGCGAGGAGATACCTGGCTCCTGGCCAATCTCTTCTCCTTCAGGAGACACCTGAGGCATTGCCAGAGAGGAGGGTCCTGGAGAGGGAGACCTGGCCAACTCCTCTCCTTCATGTTCGGAGCCTTCTCCCTCCGATAAGTCGGCCTCGGGGGTCGGAGTCACAACAACCTGATTATTTTTTCCTCCCAAACACTGGGATAAGGTGAAGTGGGTGAAAGGATATAATTTAGGATGTTGGAAGTCTAACTTTGGTGTTACATTTTTAATGTTTATGGTTTTAATTGATTTATGTATTATTCTGATTTGACAGTTTTAACCGTTGATTGGAAGCTGTCAAGAATTCAGCATAAGATAGGCGGCTATATAAATGTTTTAAATAAATAAATAAAGTTGTGTTAAGATGCAAAACATGGTTTGCTTCCAAGCCAGCTTTGCTCCAGTTTGCAGAAAGAAAAAAAATGATGTCGGCGTTCCCTGCAGAGGTGTTAGATAGTTTTAGGCCTGAAGCAAATCAAATTACTGTGTTCTATTCTAATCTGAATCTCGTTTTAATTTTTTAAACACAAGAGATAGATTAAAATCCACTCAGGCTACTTAATAGATCCTTTCCCATCACTTGCTACTTTATAAAGCTTTAAACTAGGTATAACAAAGACTGGATCCTGTCCTTTCTACTTGAAAAGCATGAATTTTGCTACTTGACTCAAAGCTAAGATTCTCAGTTTATGCTGAATTTTGATATAAATACTGAATCATATAATTAACACTCTTCTCAGTATTGGCAGCTTGCTTTTCAGACCTTATTTGTAATGACTGCTCCAGAAAAAGGTATATGCTTCCAACTAGAAATAAATATCAACTGGGAGAAAATAAATACTAGTTTCTTTTTTTGTGGTCTCAAAGCTACAACACTGCACGAAAGG